GGTGAATGTGTTTATCCATGTGTATAATATGTATTTCAATTTGTGAGTGTGCACTTGACTTATATTAAGGAAGGGGTCAGGGTCTTGGAATAGACCTCAACAGTTTGTTTACTCACTCTAAATAATTAATAAAATCATTTCTGATCAGCCTTACTTTTTTTTTGGAATAATTCAGAGAAAAATGTCACATATTTGACAAACCGCTTCATCACAATTACAATGTAGTATGTGCTCAGTATCTAGTTGTTGTTGTTGTTATTTGACATTTAAAATTTGGAGTTTCACTACATGTCAAGCTTTTTTCAAATACAATTCTTTGAATATTTTGATAACGACTCTGAAAAATGAATCGATTTTGATTGAGCAGATATATCATTGGTTTCGGACCTATAGTCTTAGTAACTCAAAACGCTAAAAATGTCAGATAGAACTTAGTAAACCTAAGGTAGCGAAATATTTCCACATATGACAGCTTCCACAATTCCTTTTCTAGCACTATGCGACACAATGTGACACTACAGTCACAAGTACAGCAATCATGACCGTCATTTATCTTCGCGAGATAAGATCCAAACAAGGCTCTTACTATTGTCTACAGTAAATAGAATCTCATACTTGAAGGTCACGACGTGTCATGCTGGAAACGAACTTAGGAGAACAAACAGGAAATGAAATAAAGGAAGGTTTTACAGGAAAGTACTGAGTATCTTTTTTTTTTTTTAAAGACCCAATTTGATTTTCATGAATTCTTGCTTTTTGGCTTAACACCTTTTATATCCATTTTAGAATACGTTTCTGTGTGGATTTTACTGTACTGAAACGGCCTGATTAAAAGCTCAAAAAGTAGATTTTCATTTTTTTAAAGATTTTCAACCTTTGGAAATTATCAAACTTTGGCGGCCATTTTCTCACTAATTTCATCTCCAAAACCAGCGACCCCCACCTCATTCAATCGCAAATTTCTTAATTTTTTTTTCAAGATAGATGAGTCTTTTTTCAACCAAAGATAGGCAAATGAACAGGTTTTAAAATGATACCAATAACTTCTCATGTCAAAAAAATTGACGACCGCCTAATTCCACCGCATCGTGACACATATTACATTCTCTCCTATCTTTTCACAGGTGATCGAGTCGCTATAGAGCCCAACCAGCCGTGTGGCAACTGTGGTTTGTGCAAAAATGGCCGCTACAATCTTTGCGAGAAGCTGAAGTACTTGGCAACACCGCCCACTCATGGTTGTCTGGCACGATATTACTGTCATCCAGCAAACTTTGTCTACAAGTAAGGAGAGCTCTTATTCTCATGCGTTTTGAAATCGAATGACCAACTTCTGTAAGGAAATATAGTATAGTATTATTACTATTAATCCCTCTTTTTCAGTTTTCATATGATCTGCTTGTTTCCTCTCATAATGTAATTAACTGTTTTTCCTTTTGTCTTTCTTTCTATCCTACTTCTCAGATTGCGTATTTCTTTGTCTATTTTTCTCGCTTTCTTTTGTTTTGTT